TAGATTCTGCGGAGTTGCTAGTGTCAATATTGTACTTATCTCCTTCACAATGGCACCTTGCCCACTTCTCCAACCCTATCTTGTCATCAAAATAGACACCAGCTGTAGGAAACCTTGTTTTAAAATCAGCATACGCTATGTTGAACTGACTTTTAGTATAAATATAAGCGCATTCCCTGAATTTTTCTGCAGCTAAATCCTTGTCTTTCTTCACTTTCACTCTGATGTTTTGAGATAAATGCCATACACAATGCGCATGAACTGATTTAGGATATACTTCCAAGACTGTCTTGATGATGCTTCTATGTCTGTCGCTTATAAAAACTAAACCAGGTGCATCCGGTATTGCAGTTTTCAGCCTTTCAAAAAACCACCTCCAACTAGCATGATTCTCACTATCAATCACACCAAAGGCAATTGGATAGTGGTGATGATTTGGATCCTGAGCTGTTGCAAAAACTAGCATACCTCCATACACAATCTTAAGGAAAGTTGCATCAATAACAATTACTTTCCTCATTGCCCTAAACCCTTCAACACTCGCTCCTAAAGCAATGAATAAGAACTTGAACCTTTTATCTTCATCTAATTCCACACTTGTTATTGTCCCAGGATTGACAACTTTTAACATGTGTAGATAAGAAAACAAAAGCTTGTAGCTCACATCCTTAACATGTTGTTTTTTCCCTCGTAAGGCAGTGGAGTAGGAACAACTTAAACCAAGTCTTCCTTGAACAATACTCATGATGTTTTTTGGAGCCGGCGTATCAAATTGACATGGATAGTCTTCATGCAAAACTGATGCTACTAGCCGTGGTGTTCCTCTCTGTCTAGTATAACTTGTACTCTGAACAGACCGCGAGCATTTATGCATATTCCTGTATACTCTGACACACCAAAAATCAGATTTCTGAATTTTTGCAACTCGCAAGTACCAGTCACAACCAGTTGAAGCTTGACTACATTTAACCATAAGACGCATCGGATCCGACTTAACTGTTTTCACATTAAAACAGTACTTATTCGAAGCTTTGTTAATCAAATCCCACACTGCCTCCTTAGAACTAAATTCTTGATCAACTTCAATTCCCATTCCATCTTCCCATTCTGTAATAAACTGACTTTCTCTACTTAAAGGAAGTGGAAGCTCAACATCATCACGCACATCATCCAAACCCTCATCCATCGGGCTATCCACATCTGCAGGTGATACACGTTCAATAGCAACATCTTTTTCAGATATAATTGTTTCATTCTCTATAACCTCTTCAATGATCGGCTGTTTTGATGTTTCCCCCTCTCTAAAAATAGTAAGCATTCCTGCATTACATA